AAGAATACAGTTGACTGAAAATCTAATGGGTACCAAGGAAAAGTCATGAAAAAAGAAAAAGAAAATAAGTGAAGTGGGGACTGGCAAAGAATATTTAACATATGTATAAATGGGGTCCCTGAAGAATAAAAGCTAAACAAATAAACAAAAGTCTCTAAAAGGAATTCTCAGAGCCTCTAAGCAAAAAGATCAAGTCATTTACAAAATACAGAAAACTAGTTAGTATTAGACTTCCTCATAGAAATTTATGGGAAAAAAGTATGAGCCAAGGATTTTATATACACCCTAGCTGTCCTTCTAGGAGCAGCAAGACTTAGTTGTTGTGTTTCTTTTTTTTGGCTGCACTGCACGGCTTATGGGATCTCAGTTGCCTGACCAGGGATTGAACCCGGGCCCTTGGCAGTGAGAGCGTGGAGTCTTACCCACTGGACTGCCAGGGAATTCTCAAAAAGATACTGTTAAGAGAATGAAAAAATGAATGAACTCACAAACTGGGAGAAAATATTTGCAAATTACCTATCTGATAAAGGTTTTGTATCTAGCATACACAAAAAACTCTCAAATCTCAACAAAAAATAAGTCAATTTAAAAATAGGCAAAAGATTTGAACAGACACTTTGCCAAAGAAGATACATGGATGGCAAATAAGCACATGAAATGACAATCAACATCATCAGTCATTAGGGAAATGCTAATTAAAACCACCACAATAACAAGACACCACTACACATTAGAATGTCTAAAATTAACAAGACTGACCATATCAAGTGTTAGCAAGGATGTGGAACAAACGGAACTTTTCATACATTGCTGGTTGAAACGTAAAATGGTGCAATCACTTTGAAGAAAAGTTTGGCAGCTTCTTAAAGAATCAAAATAGTGGACTTCCCTGGTGGTGCAGTGGCTAAGAATGTGCCTGCCAATGCAGGGGACAGGGGTTCGATCCCTGGTCCAGTAAGATCCCACATGCCTCGGAGTAACTAAGCCCGTGAGCCTGCGCCACAACTACTGAGCCTGCCCTCTAGAGCCCGCGAGCCACAACTACTGACCCCACAGGCCACCACAACTACTGAAGCCCGCACACTCTAGGGCCCGTGTGCCACAACTACTGAGCCTGCATGCTGCAACTGCTGAAGCCCACGCACCTAGAGCCTGTGCTCCGCAACAAAGGAAGCTACCGCAATGAGAAACCCGCGCACTGCAACGAAGAGTAGCCCCCACTCACCACAACTAGAAAAAGCCCGTGTGCAGCAACAAAGACCCAACACAGCCAAAAATAAATAAATAAATAAAATAAATAAAATTCAACTTAAAAAAAAAAACCAGAAGAATTAAAATAGGGAGTTCCCTCGTGGTCCAGTGGTTAGGACTCTGTGCTCTCACTGCTGTGGGCCTGGGTTCACTCTCTGGTCAGGGAAGTAAGATCCCACAAGGCATGGGAAAAAAAGAAAAAAGAAAAAAAATTAAAATATATCTACTCCATGACCTAGGTGTTTGCCAAAGAGGAATGAAAGCATATGCCCATACAAAGTCTTCTGCACTAATACTCATGGTGGTTCTATTTGTAACAGCCCCAAACTGAAAGCAACCCAAATGTTCATGAACAAGTGAATGGATAAACAAATTGTAGTATATTCGTGCAACAGGATCCTACAGCAATGAAAAGGAATGAATGACTGATATACACAAGAAAATGGATGAAACTCAAAATAACTATGCTGAGTAAAAGAAGCCAGATAAAAAAAGACTCCGTATTTGTAAAATTCTAGAAAATGCAGACTAATCGATGGTGACAGAAAATGGATCAGCAGTTGTCTGGGGACAGGAGATGAGGAGGGATGAAAGGGAAGGATTACAAAGGGGTATAAGGAAATCAAACCATCCCACACACCGGGACCACATGGAGAAGCCGAGACAACATGAAGAAAAGAGATGGCCCGTCAATCCCTAGCGGCTCAGTCCCCAGCTATTGTAGCTCCGATTACTACGTGGATGCAACTACACGAAATGTCTGAAGGAGAACGGCCCACCAAGGCCTTCACAAATTCCTGACCCACAGAAACTATGAGAGAGAATAAAACATGATTATTGTTTCAAGCCACTAAGTTTTGGGTGATTTGTTACACAGCAATAGCAACGAGAACAGACCATCAGGACTGCCTTTATATCTGTTTCTCAGTCACCAAGAGAAGCCCACCTCTTTCCTTGCAGGCATTTAAAAATGAAATGTTTTCTTCCCCATATCCCTCAAATTACTGTACCAGAGGTGGGGAAGTAATCTTCCTTGTTCCTCACTTCCACTTCCAGATTATTCTTCCTCCCTAAAAACTCCCAGGTTTGAAAATCCCGTCACCAAACTCCCCTGTCCACTATCCCTCCTCATTGCAATCATCTATATCTTCCTGGGTCACTCTTCCTCATTCCTTGAGGTTTATATCCCAGTACTCCCTCCAACACTAATCCTGTCATAATTTTTGGTTATTTAAAAACCCATGTACAGGGACTTCCCTGGCGGCGCAGTGGTGAAGAATCCGCCTGCTAATGCAGGATACATGGGTTCGAGCCCTGGTGTGAGAAGATCCTACATGCCGTGGAGCAACTAAGCCCATGCACCACTACTGAGCCTGAGTTCTAGAGCCTGTGAGCCACAACTACTGAGGCTGTGCACCACAACTACTGAAGCCCGCGCACCTACAGCCCGTGCTCTGCAACAAGACAAGCCACCGCAATGAGAAGCCCTCGCACCACAACGAAGAGTAGCCCCCACTCGTTGCAACTAGAGAAAGCCCGTGCACAGCAACAAAGACCCAATGCAGGCAAAAAAATAATTAAATAAATAACGATAAAAAAGTATTACTCAAAAATAAACCAAATAAAGTAAGAAATAATTTAAAAAAAACCCCACGTCCGCGATCCTTCCAATACCCTACCCTTGCTACATCTTTTTCTTTTTTTGTGGTATGCGGGCCTCTCACTGTTGTGGCCTCTCCCGTTGCGGAGCACAGGCTCCGGACACACAGGTTCAGCGGCCATGGCTCACGGGCCCAGCCACTCCACGGCATGTGGGATCTTCCCAGACCGGGGCACGAACCCGTGTCCCCCGCATTGGCAGGCGGACTCTTAACCACTACGCCACCAGGGAAGCCCTGCTACATCTTTAAATGCTTCGCTACCAATGACCTTTTATAGTACCCAAGCTCAGCTACTCACTTCTATGGTCTTTATTATAACCATTATATATAACCTCTCCAAAAACTCAACTGCAAGAATCCTACTCTCCAACTACCACCTTCTAGGCTCTGCAACTTATTCCTTCTAGTAGGTTGATGATGACAGTCATTCCACTTCACTGGGACTGGTAAAACAATGATCCTCACACTTTTTAAACTGCTTCTCACCATGGTAATGTCCTCACTTCCTTTCTTAGCCAGCTTTAATTGCACCATCGATCATTAAGACAACTCCCTGTACTGCCTCCTTCTCACTTCATACTAGGTAAAACTACAACCCTATTAATTTCAACTATTCATTTACTTTGTGTCTGCCCTCACACACCTGAATTTGAATTTAGCTAGCAAAAAATACAATCATGCTGCCTAGTCTCCTTTTCTTTTTAAAATAAATTTATTTATTTATTTATTTCTGTCTGCGTTGGGTCTTCGTTGCTGTGCACGGGTCTTCTCTAGCTGTGGTGAGCAGGGGCTACTCTTCGTTGTGGTGCGAGGGCTTCTCATGGTGGTGGCTTCTCTTGTTGCAGAGCACAGGCTCTAGGCATGCAGCCTCAGTAGTTGTGGAGCACAGGCTTAGTTGCTCCACGGCGTGTGGGGATCTTCCTGGACCAGGGCTCGAACCCGTGTCCCCTGCATTGGCAGCGGATTCTTAACCACTGCGCCACCAGGGAAGTCCTAACTAGTCTTCTTTAAACTCATAACCACAAATCTGAAGTAGGCCTTTAATGTTGCCTAGATTTCCCTAATGCAACACTCATCCACTCTCCTAGACGTTTACTTCCTACCTTCTCTCTTCTCTAACCTCCAACACCTGCCCCCTGCCCCTCCTCACCAGTAGGCTGATGACCTTGCTTCTTTCACTGAGAGAACAGCAACAATCAAAACAGAATTTTCATAATCTCCTGCCACTATATCTGCCCATCCACACAAATCTGTACCCATATAACTGTCACCACATGAACTGTCAATATTTCTAACAAAGACCAAATCCATTCCCTCTTACTACGCTAGAATGTTGCTTGCGCAATTCTCTTCTCTCCTGCAATGTCAATTATACCGTCCTTACTGGATCTTTCCTATCAGCCCTGAAACATTTCTCCCATCTTAAAAACAAAAACACAATTAAGAATCCTCTTCATCTCACTTCCTTCTCCATCCATTGGTCAATTTCTCTATCTTCCAGTACCCACAATAAAACTTGAAATATTTGCTCACATATGTTGCCTTGAATTTCTCCTCTCCGACTCTCGAACTCGCTCCAATCACATTTCACCCAAGAATGAGTTCTAATCTTACCCCCTTATAAACCTGCCTTACTTGCAGTCTTCCCCATCTCAGGAAAAGGCAACTTCATCTTTTCAGCTGTTCAGAGCAATCTTGTAATTATCCTTGACTTTCCTCTCTCAAGCCTCTATTATCGTATACCCGTGCACAACCTGTTGCCTCTGATTTCAAACTATATCCAGAAGCCAAGTAACCGGCTGTCCACTGCTAACAGCGGGATTATTCCAATAGACTCCTAACTGGTTTCCCTGCTTCGCCCTGGCCTGACCTCGCACACCTCACAGTCGGAGAGAGAGGTGGACGACCAAGGCACAATCGAGTAGCAGTAAGGCCTAGGCTCAAAGTCATCGGGAGCCCAAACTGGGCGAGGAACGAGCTTGCGGCTGAGGCTCCCAAGTGGGGATGTACAAACATGCGGACCTCGCACTGAGCCGACTGGCCGGGGAAAGAGCGCAGGGTCGGGGACAGCGCCGGCTGCGACCTCACCTGGCCTGTGCCGCGCCGGAACAGCACCGTGTCTTCCGGCTCTGGGACGCCGCTGCTACTGCCGCCACCGCCGCCGCCCATCGCCATGGCTAACCTGCTGCCGGGTACGCGGCGTGGGCTAGGTCCCTCGGCGAGTGACGACTTCCGCCGCCCGGCCTCCGGGAGCGGAAGAGCATGGCGGCCTCAGGGCCGCCGGCCGGCGGGGAGGAGTCCTCGCGCTTTCTGCCCTCCGGCGTCACCTACCCCTGTCGGCCGCATAGGTGTTTCTTCTCCGTATCCTCTCAATTCTTTGATTTCACTTTTTCGTCTGTTCCGAGAGTGATTCGACCAGAGTTTTTGTAAGTTTTAAACAATAAATCCTCTTAGGAAAATAGCGTTCGTTGCAGGTCACTTAGAAAATAAGCAAGCAGTAAAATAAAAAGCAGTCCCTTGGTAACCAATAAAAATATAGGTACCATTTTTAAAAAGTGCTTTTAAGAGTTTTATATACTTATTTTAATTTTATTTTCACAACTCTATGAATTAGGGGCTATTTTCTCTTTTAAAATGGGAAACTGAGGCACAGAGCGTTTACACAAATGCCTGGAATCCAGCATGTCTGTAACATTACCCAGCTTTAGCATTTAGTTTAATATCGCTTCTCCCAAATATTCTCTAGTAACTTTTTGAATTTAAAAACATGAGATGAATTGTTGTATTCTTTTTGTTTGCTCTTTTTTTCATGTTTGTCTTTACATGGGTCAAGGGGGCTTTTAGTTCTTAGTAGGAGCTTACCCTCTATTTTTCCAGTATTCTTTATTAAACATTTGGGATTGCTAAATGGCTTCCAAGTACCTATTGTCATTTGTTCTTTTTTTTTTAAAGGTCACCCAGGGAACTTTGATGGCTTCCTTTGGCTTCTGTAGATACCAGAAATAGATGTATTTTTTAAAAGCTCACTTAGATTTCTTCAATCATAATTCTCACAATGGCATATGATGCAGAAATTTAAACAATTTGGAACCAGGTTTCTTTTTATTTATTTATTTTTTAGATGGAATTTACATACCATAAATTCATCATTTTAAAGCATGCAATTTAGTGGGTTTTGGTATGGTCACAAGATTGTGCAGCTACCACCACTATCTAACTCCAAAACATTTTCATCACCCCCAAAAGAAACCTTGTATCCATTAGAAGTAACTCCACAGTCTCTCCTCCTTCCAGCCTCTCACAACCACTGTCTCTATAGATTTAGTTGCTCTGGATATTTCATAGAAATGGAGTCATATAACGTGACCTTTTGTGTCTTTTTTCACTTAGTATAATGTTTTCAAGGAGGAATTAGCTTTAATGAATTGTCAGCTGTTTTAAATGGCAAGTTCTTTGTTGGAAAAGTATTTCTACTTATCAGGAAGTAGATAAGTAGATTTCCACCTACCTTGTTCCTCAACAAAAATGAACCTATGGCATTTTTGTCCTCAAAGAAAACATGTTCTTTTTTTCTTGACGGTGACATCCAGATTTGAATCACCATACGTATTTTACAGTTATTCCATATGATAGACAAAGCACTCAAAGCATAATGTAGAGGATTTCCAAAGGAAGCCGTTTCATCAGATTTGAAGGCACTTACGTAAACATTAAATTTAACTGTATGATCATGGGGGGTTGCCAATCTGAGTACCATGCCTGGCACCTGGCAGGTCCCCCATACACATGGCTGAATGTGTAAGTCCCCCAGCTGCAGGAACAGCTCCATTTTCTGAGGGCTCCCCCACCCCCCGCAGGATTCTCTTACAGGCTAGTCCTTATGGTTCTGCCTTGTACACACAACACTTTATTTTCGTATTCTGTTTTCCCTGCTAGCAGCCCCTGTGACCAGGCGTCTTCATGTTGTTATCTCTGTACCTCCTACAAGGCCAGACCAGAGTAAGTGGTGCCAGAAAAGTTTGGTAAATCAATGAATTGTGGGAACCCAACCCAGCTCTAGCACTTTTGTCTGCAGGCTAGTCTACCAGATTCAAAAAGAGGAAGGTTATTCACAAGTGCATAAATTGCACTTGCATAAGAAAGAATCTCATTAAGTAGACCTCCATAAAGTTCAAATTTTGATGATCTGGGCATATCCGAGGTGAAGCTTACCCAGCTTTATAATGAATTTGCTGGAAAGTCACGTAGATAGTCCAGAATATTTTTTAGAAAGCACTTATCTGCCCCCAGGTGAGCAGGAAAGGAAGCTGGGAGGTACAAGAGAGGCCCCAAAGAGGGTCTGTTGGGCCATTTCTTAGCATCTGATCCAATTGGTGAGGAAAGTGACAGCAGTCCAAAGAAGACTCAAAGAAACAGAAGTTTTGGGTTTCCCTGGTGGAGCAGTGGTTGGGAGTCCGCCTGCCGATGCAAGGGACGTGGGTTCGTGCCCCGGTCCGAGAAAATCCCACGTGCCGCGGAGCCTGCGCGTCCGGAGCCTGTGCTCCGCAACGGGAGAGGCCACAACAGTGAGAGGCCCGCGTACCGCAAAAAAAAAAAAAAAGAAAGAAAGAAACAGAACTCTCTGCTGGCAATAGCTCTTTTGCCTAAAGTAGCCTTCCCACTGTCACATGGTGCAGTTTTAAAGTTATGGTGAAATGCTAACAGGCAGTTTGTATTAAAGTTAACAGCAAATCATGGCTTCACAGATTAATTGCTGCACAAATAAATTGATGTATAAGTATTTGCTTTTAAATCTTACATGGCAAGAAGTAAATTAGAAGTCAAACCATTTTTTTCTCCGAAGACTAAAAGGACAGAATGTCTTTGATGACCTTGAGAACAGCATACTGGTTTCAAGGCAGACTGTTGTTGTGTAATCTAACCAACAATGATGTAGAACGTTTTAAAATTTTATTTATTTTATTTCTGGATGTGCTGGGTCTTCATTGCGATGTGGAAGCTTCTCAGTGTGGTGGCTTCTCTTGTTAAGCATGGGCTCTAGAGCGCGGGCTTCAGTAGTTGTGGCACACGAGTTTAGTTGCTCTGTGGACTGTGGGATCTTCGCGGACCAGGGCTCGAACCCGTGTTCCCTGTGTTGGCAGGCAGATTCTTAACCACTGTGCCACCCTGTGAAGTCCCTGATGTAGAACTTTTCTTAACACGGTTATAAAATAAATCTTAGAAGAAAAAAAAATAACTTCATGAACTGGAACCAATCTTTGCGCATATGGAATTCTCATACCAAAAACCTACATTTGGCGACTCTTGGAACTTGCTGATGATAAAGGATTCAAATGACTAGTGATCAAGTTTCCAGTTAGGATAATATATATTGGTACTGTCATGTAGAATAGCGAATAAACAAAAGAGAAGGCCAAAACTAATTAGTTCCTTACCCTTACCTTACCTTCAGAGTCTAGGGTCAGGAGATTAGAGATGTGTCAGTGATTTGTGTACAAGAATGCTCACTGATTGGGACTGACATACATACACTACTGTGTATAAAACAGATAACTAATGAGAACCTACTGTATAGCACAGGGAACTCTACTCAATGCTCTGTGGTGACCTAAATGGGAAGGAAATCCAAAAAAGAGGGGATATACGTAAATGTATAGCTGATTCACTTTGCTGTACAGCAGAGTGAATACAACACAACACTGTAAAGCAACTATACTCCAAAAAAAAAAAAGACTGCTCACTGAACTATTACTGCAGCAGAAAGCTGAAAATTCCAAATGATGTTTTGGAAGAATATTTGAATGATATTATGGACAAATGGTAGTATAATTCATAAATGACATAGATCTAATTAGTCATCCAATATGTAAGGCTTGGATTCATTACCCTCACATCATATACCAAAATACATTCTGGGTGACTTTTATAAACTTGGGATGGAGGAGATTTTAAGATAGAAATAAGAAACTATGCAAGGATTGAAAACTCGAATACATTTTGGGGGTCAGGCAGGTAAAGGAGATGAGTTAAAGAGGAGTAAGCCATAAGGGGTGGTGGGTACTGTAATCAGTTACCTTGAGACTATCCCTCCACACACCCCCCAACTCATTCCACCCACTCCCTGCCCAAAGGCATTCAAGTTCATATTAAAAATTCTGGGGGGAGGGGGGAGGGGGGAGGGATGGAGTGGGAGTTTGGGTTTAGCAGAAGCAAGCTATTATATATAGAATGGATAAACAACAAGGTCCTACTGTATAGCACAGGAAACTATGTTCAATATATTGTGATAGACCATAATTGAAAAGAATATGTATATATGTATAACTGAATCACTTTGCTGTACAGTAGAAATAAACACAACATTGTAAATCAAGTATACTTCAATTTAAGAAAAAGTGGAAAAAATTTTTTTAACATGTCAGGACAAGTCTGTGGGCTGTCAGTCTGCATCTTCAGTTAATAAAGAAACCAGGCATTTAATTAAAAATTATGATGAGGTATCACCTCACACTGGTCAGAATGGCAATTATCAAAAAGTCTACAAATAATAAATGCTGGAGAGGGTGTGGAAAAAGGGAAACCTCCTACACTGATGGTGGGAATGTAAATTGGTACAGTCATTATGGAGAACAGTATGGAGGTTTCTTAAAAAACTAAAAATTGAGCTACAACATGATCCTGCAATCCCACTCCTCCTGGGCATATATTTGGAGAAAACCATAATTTGAAAAGATACATGCACCCCAAAGTTCATTGCAGCACTATTTACAATAACCAAAACATGGAAGCAACCTAAATGTCCATGGACAGATGAATGGATAAAGAAGATGTGGTATAGGGCTTCCCTGGTGGCACAGTGGTTGGGAATCCGCCTGCCAATGCAGGGGACACGGGTTCCAGCACTGGTCTGGGAAGATCCCACATGCCGCAGAGCAACTAAGCCCGTGTGCCACAACTATTGAGCCTGCACTCTAGAGCCTGCGAGCCACAACTACTGAGCCCGTGTGCCACAACTACTGGAGCCCGTGCTCCGCAACAAGAGAGGCCACCGCAGTGAGAAGCCTGCGCATGGCAACGAAGAGCAGCGCCCCCCCGGGCCACAACCAGAGAAAAGCCCATGTGCAGCAATGAAGACCTAACACAGCCAAAAATAAAATAAATAAAATTAAAAAAAAATAGATGTGGCACATATACACAATGGAATACTACT